ATTATCTAACAGAAAACTTAGGTTACCTTGACGACGCCTTACTATATTTATTAATCGGTCGCTAAATTTAATCAGCAATCGGATTGGTTCTAGAGTCAAGGTCAACAGATATCTTACAGATAATAATAGACAATACTAAGTATTATTCAAGGGTTTGGAGACCAGCCATCATAGATAAGGATAAGAGGATTGACTACAAGTGTTCAAGTGCTCGATACAGCGAATCCTCCTTCGAAGACCCATGTCTTCTTGTACTTTCTTAGACGCTTGGGATCCCTGTGTGTTAAAGGAGGAGGAGGAGGCCTTGGGGAGAGGACGGCTCTAAGCTTGCGMTAAAARCATTTTATCATAGTACATCAGTTTCTAACTGTTCARAAAAGGTTTTGAGTGCTAACCCAAGACGAAAATTGGGWTCAAARCTCATACGAAAGTCTAGTTTTTGGCGCTTTTTGCCATTATTGCTCATTATTGAAAAAMATTTTCTCTTAAACTAAAARTAACAAACCAAACTTTAAAACAAATTAAAAAGAAGTTAATTTTAACTTATGAAATTTGTCTTGTCTAGACGATTGACGTCATAGTATGATAGATGACGTATAGTCGTTCATTTTGGCTATCGTATCAAGTCACGTGATAAAACCTTTTACCTTAATTGTTAAAATCCCTTTAACGAATCATTAGGGAAAATAGAATTCCTATAAGTCCATAACTTTATCTTCTGTTGCCTTTGTTTTGTGTTGGAAAATCTTGCTGACATTAAGCTGTTCATGATTAATATCCATCCATATTCAAGGGATATTGATGATGGATTTATTCTCATGTTTGGACGCCTGTCTTCCATGAAACAAAGATACATCCAAGACTTCTATACTCCTCCCTAATGAGATAAAAATGATATTAGTATTAAAAGTTTAAGCCGAAATCGAATCCCGAAATCGAATCCCGAAATCCTTTTTCAAAATTTTGTCTTATTTTATTACGCGAAGTACAAAATTATAGTATTTCAACTCTAACACTTTGAGTTTGAATGCTGTTCAATTTTGGTGTATTTTTAGTGGGATTCGTTTTTCTCACAAGTAATGATAGCAATCATTGATAGCCTAGCGAACCWAATACTCCATTTGACATTGCATTAGGGTAGATACGTTATGCTAGCACAGTCCTAATGGCGATAATTTTCCCAGTATGATACGAATCATCGATATTCTAGTAAACCAAATATTCTATTTCTCATTCCAT